GTTTTTTTCAATTGTTTACACGCGATTTTGAAAACAGAGTTATTTTTGTCAAAATATAATCACAATTATCCAAACACCACAATCAATTAGCAAAATTCCTAGATTGTTTGCAAAATGACACACTTCAGTCAAAACATATACACATATTTGTGAAAATGCTATTTGTTTTCATTTAACCAACACAGTCATCAATGATCATACACTATTGCAGCCAGTTTCACACTGCTGTGATAAATAAAAAACACATTTGTAAAAAAAAAAAAAAAAAAGATTTTTGGCCAGACATTCTTACTGTATGTGAGAGATAATTTAGGTGACAAAAAATTGTGAGAAACTCACAACATTATTCATGATTTGTTTTGAGATATAAGGAGAATGTAGACAAATACTGTAGGCCTACCAGGGGCGGTGTGTTCAATAGGGCGATATGGGCGACGCACTGCCAAACGGGAAAAGGAAGGGATTTTTTTTCTAATCAATTATATCACGGCAACAGTAGTTATCAGTGTTGTAATCTAGACGTCTGATCTGCCACAGTGCCACTAAATGTCCAATCAGGCTAAAGTCGTGCTTCAAATGCCCCCCCCCCCCCCCCCCCCTTTTGGGGCGATTTCAGTCAGGTTGAAAATCGCCCAGAAGTCTGTCATAGACTCCCATGTAAAATCTATTTTTTTCAAATATCAGAGCTTTCAATACAATCTCTATGGGTTTCTGAGGGCTTGCACTTACGCGCTTTCGTCATACGTAACATAACCATGAACGTAACTAAGAAAAGAGCGGGTAGCAGCGTCAATCAATTCACTATTACTGTCAAAATGGCTAGGCTTCAGTGCAACTCGATTGTGTCTTTGAAAGAAGTTCCTTTTTGTCGGCGAACAAATGAAGATAAATTGGCAACGAAACAATTAGGACCTCCCAGACCAAATTTAATAATTCAACAGGTTTCTACCAAAGGGGGGAAGTCCTACACCCGAGGATTTTCCAAAAATTGGTACGAACGAAAAACCTGGCTAGCAGGCTGCGATGTAGCTAATGCAGTCTTCTGCTACCCCCTGCTTACTCTTTCACCCTGAAGGCGGCACGGCAGACAGCACCGCTTGGACAGCGACTGGTGTGTAACGGACATGCACCATCTTTCAGGAAAGATTAAGAAACATGAGCTGTCAAAGACCCACATGGATACCTGTTTGAGATTGTCTGCTTTGGGGAGAGTGAACATTCCCACTCAACTGGATGAGGGATACAGGCTAGCTGTCCGCCGCCACAACGATGAGGTTAGTGTTGATAATCACAAGTTTACTGGAGAACTGAAACTGACAAGGCTGACAAGATAGGACCCTTTTGTCCATTGTTATTGGATAGGAACAGAACTTATAACCAGCTCCTGACCTAAATAGATCTTAGCACAACATTTTACTCAACATATCATATTCCATATTCACTATAACAAATATATTTACTACGACATTAGCAAGAACCGCCACATCCTCAGCCGGCTAATCCAGTGTGTGAAGTTTTGCGGAGTGTTTGAGTTAGCTTTGCGAGGCAAAGATGAAACTGAGGGCTCCACCAACCCTGGTAAGCCAACACTTTTGAGATCAGTCAATAAATGCTTCTGGTATTGACTTATATGCTGCCCCTGTCTTCATGTTGTTGCTGGACATATCTTTTTTAAAATGTGTGTAGGTCACCTAAATCATCAGAAAAATTGCCCCCCCTGAGAATTTTTTCAGGAGCCGCCACTGCGGCCTACTATAACCTTACCAAGCACTGCACAACACTTGATGCTGCAGACTGAATATTTCAAGTATTTATTTCAATACTTACAGTATTTCTTACCATAATCAGTTACAGTAATCAACCAACAATGATATCAATTACTGTAAACAAATAAAATCCGTAGACAAATAAAAATTACTGCATGAATTACAGTACATACACTTTGACTCTGAAGAAAAGTAAAGTAAAAGTAAACAGAAATGAAAGAAAACTACTGTAAAAGCAACAAGAATACTGTAACTATCCGTCTCTCCGTCTGGCTGGATCAGGCCATAACATTTCATCCACATCACAGGCTATGTCTTCATTGGCAAGGCACCGTTGGAAGAATCGCCTTGTGTGACGAATCCACCCCTGCACTGAAGCTGCTTCAATAAGATCACATGCCTGTTCCATGGCCTGAATGAGGGGCAAACGGTCATAAGGCCGCAGGTCATATACCTTCCACCGCCACGCTGAAAAAAATTCTTCTATAGGATTCAGGAAGGGGGAGTATGGGGGAAGGTATAAAACTTCAAAATCAGGGTGATCATGGAACCAGTTCTGGACTAGAGCAGCCCGATGAAATGAGACATTGTCCCAAACGACAATGTACCGCATCTGGTCCACTTGGTGTAATGCTGTGACAATCTCATGCAATCGGTCAAGAAATGCAAGTATCAGATTTGCATTATAGGGTCCCAGATTTGCATGGTGGTGGAGGACCCCATTTTGTGTGATAGCAGCGCAAAGGGTGATGTTACCCCCTCGCTGCCCTGGCACATTGGTGATTGCCCTGTGCCCAATTACATTTCTCCCTCTTCTTCTTGTTTTTGCAAGGTTAAATCCAGCCTCATCCACATATATAAATTCATGTTGAATTTCAGCAGCATCCATTTGCAAGACTCTCTGAAACACATTAAAGAAAATAGGATGCTATTCAATATCTATAGCACAGTATTTTTTTTGTGACAGAACATTATGAGCAGTGCATGATACCACACCATAGTCAGATGAACAATGCATACCTCCACTCATTGCGCAGATGTTTCACTCTCTCTGAATTTCTGTCAAATGGTACCCGATACAGTTGCTTCATGTATATTTGATTTTTCTTTAGGATTCGACCTAATGTTGACAGAGAGACTCGTTGGATGTTATTGAAAATATTGTCATCATTGATGATATTGGCTTGGATTTCTCGTAGCCTGATACAATTATTGGCCAAAACCATGTTCACAATGGCGGCCTCTTGTGCACGACTAAACATAGGGCCCCTTCCACCTTGGTGTCCTCGACCCTCAATCCTATGTAAAAACAAAATAAGATAAAAATAAATAAATATATATATATATATATATATATATATATATATATATATATATATGCAGCCTACTGTCAAATGTCACAGTAAACAATATTGATTATACAAGCTTCAGTTTCAATGTATACTGTGTGGTTAGCTTACCTGTTTTCTCGATGAAATGTCCGAATTACTGACGCAACAGTATTTCTGCTGAGATTTGGTTGAACTCTTTGTCCAGCTTCCATCAGTGTCAGTCCATGGTTGATAACATGGTCAATAAGTGTTGCACGGATTTCTCGAGTCAAATTTGGTCCTCGTCTTCTTTGTTCAGGTTCTATCAACTCTTCAAGTCCTTCTCTATCTCTTCCTCTACCTAGGTGTCTTCCTCTACCTCCTTCTCTTCCTCTACCTTCTTCTCCTCTACCTATGCCTCTTCCTCTACCTCCTTCTCCTCTTCCTCTACCGCCTTCATCTCCTCTTTGAGCTCCCCCTCTCATTCTCACTCTTCTTCTTCTTCTAACTCCTTCCATTTTTGTTGAAGACAGGTGAACTCACCTGCTGCCTTTTATAGCACACCTGAGTGCTGCGTTTTCAAATTAGCACATGTGTGCTTCCACACCTGGTAGATGTGTTTATCCAATTCGTTCATTAGTGTGGTAATTGGCAATCCGGTGCTTTGTAATTACAAGGAAGTAACCTCACGATCCTTATCTGTGTCTAAGGTGTGAAAATGTGTGTAGAGTTTTACAAATCACTGTGTGTAATGTTTTGCAAAAAGGGTGAGGCGGACATTGTGTGTAATGTTGTGCAAATCTGTGGAGGTGTTTTGCTCATTGGAGTACAATTTTGCTAATTGTGTGGAAATTTTAATTTTAGTGTGTAAACAATCGTAAAAAACTGTAACAACTAACTTTGGCTGCCCTGTTCGTTACACAATAAAACACACACAGATACACACACACACACACACACACACACACACACACAGATACACACACACACACACACACACACACATACATACATTCATACATACATACACACACACACACTTAACAATCAGCTTGTATCAGAAACAGATCTCAGTGACAGGAAGTTTTCCCTCTGTTCAATGAAATTCAAAAACCTCTGTAGTATCCCTGGTTTCACCAAAGGTAGGAAACTCCATACGGACGGACGGACGGACGGACGGACGGGGGGTTTGAGTACATGGAATCGGAACTCGATAAAGCTCCTCTTGGGATGAGTCAGAGGTATGACAGCTGAAGGTTCTATTAGAGGATGAGTGGGCTTGTGGAATTCACTTCCTGCTACAGTACCTCACAGTCCAGGGGCTGATGGATAGCTGCTTTCTGACCAACAGATTACCTGACTGAAGTTGAAGAACAGGTGAGAACCATCATTTTTCAAGGCGATTACAGGGCAAAAGTGGCTGAAATGGAAGCCGGACTCAGTCAGAGACTGAGATGGTGAGAAGGATCTTGAATGACTGGAATTCAATCTCTCGCTAGCAGTTTAAGAGGATCTATCGTGACTGTTGAAACACTTGTCAAAAGTCGGCGGAAAAGGGTTTCAAAGAAGGACAACTGGGCCAAGGTGAACAACCACCAATCACAAGACAGAAATAAGAAGAAACCAACACCCCGGTCAAAAGACTCCACAGATGGATGGGGTGTTAGTGAGAAAAGCCATGGAGTAGGTCACATGGTCATATTTTTTCCGAGCTCCTGCTGAAATTGCATTTATTTAATAGTTTCTTTGCGCTTCGACCCAAAAAGAACTAGAAAAACACAGCCTTTGAATGACGTGCTTTACTTTGTTCAACTTTTATTTTTGTTTTAATGTGTAAATGGCACATGACTTGCAAAAGTTTAAGTTCAGCGGAGTCACTGACAAAAGAGAAAAAACTAGGCCCAAGACGAGGAGCTCGAGGTCTTCAAAAAGCAGCGGCTCCTCGGCTCTGCAAAAAAATGAACACATAGGATTTGAAGGCCGAGATTCTTGCTGCCCTCAGAGAAACCATACCTGAGATAACTGACGAGCTGGGTAACAAATGTATTGATAATGATTGATAATTGATCATTTAGAGGTAAATTCATGCTTTCATAACTTTTACTCACAATTATACACTTCGGAATCCGCTGGTAATGCTACCTTACTCGACACCTTTTTTGAGAAATAAGATATTCCTACAGTTGAACCTGAGATAGCTGCTGAATTAGAAGAACAGTTCTCTGTAGAAGAGATTGTGTTGGCAATGAAATCTATGCAGTGTGGTAAATCCCCTGGACCTGACGGATTTCCGAGCGAATTCTTTAAAATATGATCCGATAAACTCTCTCCTCTCTTGCTTTCTGTATTTGAGGAATCATTGTCCTCAAAATCTTTACCCTCAACAATGAGACAAGCATGTATTTAAAAAAAAACTTGAGTGTGATTCACAATTTATTCACTGAATTGCGATGTAAATATACTTTCTAAGATGATTGCCGGCCGTTTTGAGTAAGTCCTTCCCTCCATTATCTCTACAGATCAAATTGACTTCATTTTAAATCGTCATTATTTTTTCAACATCAGACGTCTTTATAATCCCTCTTCATCTGACACTCCAGAGATAGTGTTATCTTTTGACGCTAAGAAGGCGTTTGATCGGGTGGAGTGGGATTATCAATTTTTTTGTCCTGGATCAAAGTCCTTTACTCCTCCCCTATGGCTGCGGTGCGCACAAATAATAACCTTTCATCCTATTTCCAACTTCAACGTGGGACAGGACAGGGTTGTCCTCTATCCCCTCAGCTGTTTGCCATTGCAATTGAGCCTTTAGCCGTAGGTACCGTGTTCATCTGTACAAACAATAGTACGCAAGTATAAACACCATGGGACCACGCAGCCGTCATACCACTCAGGAAGGAGACACGTTCTGTCTCCTAGAGATGAACGTACTTTGGTGCGAAAAGTGCAAATAAATCCCAGAACAAGAGCAAAGGACCTTGTGAAGATGCTGGAGGAAACAGGTACAAAAGTATCTATATCCACAGTAAAACGAGTCCTATATCGACATAACCTGAAAGGCCGCTCAGCAAGGAAGAAGCCACTGCTCCAAAACTGCCATAAAAAAGCCAGACTACGGTTTGCAACTGTACATGGGGACAAAGATCGTACTTTTTGGAGAAATGTCCTCCGTTAGGGGATCTGGAATTACATGTTATAATATCTGGCAACCTTTCCTATCATTTGTAGAAGACATGGACCCAGCTAATTTGTTGGGCAATTAGCCTTGGCTCGCAGTCGGTGTTCCAATTCATCCCAAAGGTGTTTGATGGGGTTGAGGTCAGGGCTCTGTGCAGGCCAGTCAAGTTCTTCCACACAAACCATTTCTGTATGGACCTCACTTTGTGCACAGGGGCATTGTCTTACTGAAAGACGAAAGGGCCTTCCCCAAACTATTGCCGCAAAGTTAGTCTAGAATGTCCTTGTATGCTGTAGCGTAAGATTTCCCTTCACTGGAACTAAGGGGCCTAGGCCCGAACCATGAAAAACAGCCCCAGACCATTATTCCTCCTCCACCAAACTTTACAGTTGGCACTATGCATTCAGGCAGGTAGCATTCTCCTGGCATCCACAAAACCCAGATTCGTCCGTCAGGACTGCCAGATGGTGAAGGGTGATTCATCACTCCAAAGAACACGTTTCCACTACTCCAGAGTCCAATGGCGGCGAGCTTTACACCACTCCAGCCAACGCTTGGCATTGCGCATGGTTATCTTAGGCTTGTGTGAGGCAGCTCGGCCATGGAAACCCATTTCATGAAGCTCCTGACAAACAGTTACTGTGCTGACGTTGCTTCCAGAGGCAGTTTGGAACTCAGTAGTGAGTGTTGCAACCGAGGACAGACAATTTGTACGCGCTGCGCGCATCAGCATTCGGCAGTCCCGTTCTGTGAGCTTGTGTGGCATATCACTTCGCGGCTGAGCCGTTGTTGCTCCTAGACGTTTCCACTTCACAATAACAGCACTTACAGTTGACCGGAAAGGTGGCATCCTATGACGGTGCCACATTGAAAGTCACTGAGTGCTTCAGGAAGGCCATTCCACTGCCAATGTTTGTCTATGAAGATTGCATGGCTGTGTGCTCGATTTTATACACTTGTCAGCAAGGGGTGTGGCTGAAATAGCCGAATCCACTAATTTGAAGGGGTGTCCACATACTTTTGTGTGTGTGTGCCAAGAGTGTGCAAAGCTGTCATCAAGGCAAAGAGTGGCTACTTTGAAGAATCTCAAATCAAAAATGTTGTATGTCGTGTATCATGGTACAGCTACGTGGATAACAAACAGGCATTGATTCTGGTGGCACTGGTAGGTATGGATAAGTATCTCAAAATGGTGGATATTGGTAAGTATCTCAAAATGGTGGATATTGGTAAGTATCTCAAAATGGTGGATATTGGTAAGTGTATGTGTGGCATTGGACTGTGTGGATCCTGAAAACCTGGCTTATCATGGCTGACATCCACCTGGCTTTTCCCCTCATTGTCGGTCTAGATTTCTTGAACAAAAAAGGGATTCAAATGAACCTTGGAGAACGCAACTATGGGCTGAAGATAAAAGGAGACTACAGGGCCTCAGCCTTTATGTTGCCATGCCCTCTGTTCTCTCCACTAGAGGTCATCCCCTCTCAGATCCATCCACAGATTTAATTGGCTGAGAAATCAACCTTCTGAAATCCAGCCTCTTCCAATCTGTTTGTTCAGAGAAGATAGGAAGAACCAATGTGATCAAGCATGCCTCAGATGACATCCCGGTTCGGTCCAGGCCCTATCAGGTGTCACCCCTTAAGAAAGAAATAATCTGAAAACATGTGGAGAAAATGTTAAAGGATGATGTCCTCGAACCATCCCATCCCTCATGGGCAGCCCCTGTGGTGTTGGTTGGCAAACCCATGGTTTTTTGCGCTGATTTCAGAGGCTTGAATGCCAAGACACCTCTCGATGCCTATCCAATACCCTTCATACATGACATCCTAGAGTCCTTGCATGGTGGGAGGAAGTTGGTCAACGCTGATGTTTTGTCTGGACAAGATGTCCAAGAAACAAGATGACAAGATGTCCAAGAAACAAGAAGACAAGATGTCCAAGAAACTTCAGCTGAGTCTTTAGGAAATGAAATTTCTCCATGTTCAATGTCAAGTTGGCATCATGGAGTTCGCTGAACAGCAGTGAGGTCAGCCACATGCTGCTGCTTGTTGGGGGAGTATGATGCCATCTCGGTGGCCAGTTTAACTCCAACCCTGTTCCTGGAGAGCTACCCATTCAAACACATTGAATAATAGATTCACTACATGGAACAACAGATAGTCCCCAAAAAATATCAAAAGGAAGTTTGTTCTGAAGTGTCTCTCCTATATCTGAGAGATATAAGATTAAACATTTGTTTTTGTTTTTTACATGTATTTCAAATCAAATCAAATTTTACTTATCAAATCAAAGCTTACTGTGAAATGCTTACTTACAAGCACTTAACCAACAGTTCAGTTTTAAGAAAATATTTACTAAATGACCAGATTTTTTTTTTTTAAAGCTCCGGTACCGCTTGCCGTGCAGTAGCAGAGAGAACAGTCTATGACTTGGGTGACTGGAGTCTTTGACAATATTTTGGACCTTCCTCTGACAGCGCCTAGTATAGAGGTCCTGGATGGCAGGAAGCTTGGCCCCAGTGATGTACTGGGCCGTACGCACTACCCTCTGTAGCGCCTTGCGGTCGGAGGCCGAGCAGTTGCCATACCAGGCGGTGATGCAACCAGTCAGGATGCTCTTGATGGTGCAGCTGTATACCTTTTTGAGGATCTGGGGACCCATGCCAAATCTTTTCAGTCTCCTGAGGGGGAAAGGCGTTGTCGTGTCCTCTTTCTTGGTGTGTTTGGACCATGATAGTTTGTTGGTGATGTGGACACCAAGGAACTTGAAACTCTCAACCCGCTTCACTACAGCCCCGTCGATGTGAATGGGGGCATGTTCAGCCCTCCTTTTCCTGTAGTCCACGATCATCTCCTTTGTCTTGCTCACGTTGAGGGAGAGGTTGTTGTCCTGGCACTACACTGCCAGGTCTCTGACCTCCTCCCTATAGGCTGACTCATCGTTGTCGGTGATCAAGCCTACCACTGCAAACGTAATGATGGTGTTGGAGTCGTGCTTGGCCACGCAGTCGTGGGTGAACAGGGAGTACAGAAGGGGACTAAGCACTCACACCTGAGGAGCCCCCGTGTTGATGATCAGCGTAGCAGATGTGTTGTTGCCTACCCTTACCACCAGGGGGTGGCCTGTCAGGAAGTCCAGGATCCAGTTGCAGAGGGAGGTGTTTAGTCCCAGGGTCCTTAGCTTAGTGATGAGCTTTGTGGGCACTATGGTGTTGAACGCTGAGCTGTAGTCAATGAACAGCATTCTCACATAGGTGTTCATTTTGTCCAGGTGGGAAAGGGCAGTGTGGAGTGCAATTGAGATTGCGTCATCTGTGGATCTGTTGGGGCGAATTGGAGTGGGTCTAGGGTTTCCGGGATGATGGTGTTGATGTGTCATGACCAGCTTTTCAAAGCACTTCATGGCTTCCGACGTGAGTGCTACGTGGCGGTAGTCATTTAGGCAGGTTACCTTCACTTTCTTGGGCACAGGGACTATGGTCATCTGCTTGAAACATGTAGGTATAACAGACTCGGTCAGGGAGAGGTTGAAAATGTCAGTGAAGACACTTGCCAGTTGGTCCGCGCATGCTCTGAGTACACGTCCTGGTAATACGTCTGGCCCCGCGGCCTTGTGAATGTTGACCTGTTTAAAGTCTTGCCCACATCGGCTACGGAGAGCGTGATCACACAGTCATCCGGAACAGCTGGTGCTCTCATGCATGCTTCAGTGTTGCTTGCCTCAAGGTGTAGTAGGATTCAATATTAGTCCTGAATTGACACTTTGCCTATTTGATGGTTCGTCTGAAGGCATAGCAGGATTTCTTATAAGCGTCCGGATTAGTGTCCCGCTCCTTGAAAGCAGCAGCTCTAGCCTTTAGCTCAGTGCGGATATTGCCTGTAATCCATTGCTTCTGGTTGGGTTATGTACGCAGGTCACTGTGGGGATGACGTCGTCTATGTACTTATTGATGAAGCCAGTGACTGAGGTGGTATACTCCTCAATGCCATTGGATGAATCCCGGAACATATTCTAGTCTGCGCTAGCAAAACAGTCCTGTAGCATAGCATCTGCGTCATCTAACCACTTCCGTATTGAGCAAGTCACTGGTACTTCCTGCTTTAGTTTTTGCTTGTAAGCAGAAATCAGGAGGATATAATTATGGTCAGATTTACCAAATGGTGGGCGAGGGAGAGCTTTGTATGTGTTTCTGTGTGTGGAGTAAAGGTGGTCTAGAGTTTTTTTCCTCTGGTTGCACATAGCTTGTAGAAATTAGGTAAAACGGATTTAAGTTTGCCTGCATTAAAGTCCCCAGCCACTAGGAGAGCCATTTCTGGATGAGCATTTTGTTGTTTGCTTATGGCCTTATACAGCTTGTTGAGTGCGGTCTTAGTGCCAGCATCGGTTTGTGGTGGTAAATAGACGGCTACGAAGAATATAGATGAGGGACTCCCAGTCCCTGCCGCTGAAAAACATCCCCACAGCATGATGCTGCAACCACCATGCTTCACCGTAGGGATGGTGCCAGGTTTCCTCCAGATGTGACACTTGGCATTCAGGCCAAAGAGCTCAATATTGGATTCATCAGACCAGACAATCTTGTTTCTCATGATCTGAGAGTCCTTTAGGTGCCTTTTGATGAGGGGTGGCTTCTGTCTTGCCACTCTACCATAATGGTTCCAAACTTCTTCCATTTAAGAATGATGGAGGCCACTGTGTTCTTGGGGACCTTCAATGCTGCAGACATATTTTGGTACCCTTCCCCAGATCTGTGCATCGACACAATCCTGTCTCGGAGCTCTACGGACAATTCCTTAGACCTCATGACTTGGTTTTTGCTCTGACATCCAATGTCAACTCTGAGACCCTATATAGAGAGGTGTGTGCCTTTCCAAATCAAATCCAATCAATTGAATTTACCACAGGTGGACTCCAATCAAGTTGTAGAAACATCTCAAGGATGATCAATGGAAACAGGATGCACCTGAGCTCAATTTCGAGTCTCAATGCAAAGGGTCTGAAATAAGGTATTTCTGTTTTTTCTAAAAACCTGTTTTCGCTTTGTCATTATGGGGTAATGTATTTAATGCATTTTAGAATAAGGCTGTAACGTAACAAAATGTGGAAAAAGTCAAGGGGTCTGAATACTTTTCGAATACATTTTACATTTACATTTTAGTCATTTAGCAGACACTTTTATCCAGAGCGACTTATAGTTAGTGAGTGCATACACTGTACACGGTACAGATGTCTGGTTTAAAGTTTAAAAAACCTTACAAGGTTAAGCCATTATATGTGTCTTTCCATTGTCATGCTGTTTATGTATCTGCCAGTCCTGGCTTCGTTATTTGCACTGGCAAAGCGAAGATGTCTGCCATTGTCATTTTGGTGGACTATCCTTTTAATAGGGAATTTTGGGGGGGAAGTGTAGGTTCTATTGTGTGAAAAAACCTTTTAAGTGGCCTAGAATTAACCATTCAACTGAATACTTTTTGCTCATTATTGTGGATTGTTACTCCAACTACAAAGGGTTCGTATGTTGGTGGTTTTGTAGGATGCCATGAACATTGAGCTTATTGTAATGAAATCTCCAACAGGACGGATTTTCCCTCTACTACAGCAATTCGGTGAGATCTATCCTGTTGATTGTATTTTTAGGGGACTTACTTTATTGGATGACCTATACTTTAGCATTTTGAAGGGGGATTGCAATTTTTTTTTTTTTTTAATTAAATAAAAATTGCACTCCACCAGATGGAAAGACTGTACTCTGTAAAAGGAGGTACTCACCGCTGGCCTGTTGCGGTGTTCTACAACACGCTCAACATGGCTTCTATCAACTCGCACGTTTTGTACAAGCAATGCCTTGACAAGACAGTCAGCAGGAGATATTTAATCATGGATCTGGCATGTGAGCTTCGTGAGAACCACATGAACACCAAGAAAGAAGCTACAGTCACCAAGCAAGCAGGTCCTGCTCTCCCTCCTCCCCAAGCACCACAGCTCCCACTGGGGAACAGAAGACCCAATGTCAAGGCAGCAGGTCCTGCTCTCCCTCTTCCCCAAGCACCACAGCTCCCACTGGGGAACAGAAGACCCAATGTCAAGGCAGCAGGTCCTGCTCTCCCTCTTCCCCAAGCACCACAGCTCCCACTGGGGAACAGAAGACCCAATGTCAAGGGAGCAGGTCCTGCTCTCCCTCTTCCCCAAGCACCACAGCTCCCACTGGGGAACAGAAGACCCAATGTCAAGGCAGCAGGTCCTGCTCTCCCTCTTCCCCAAGCACCACAGCTCCCACTGGGGAACAGAAGACCCAATGTCAAGGTATCAGGTCCTGCTCTCCCTCTTCCCCAAGCACCACAGCTCCCATTGGGGAACAGAAGACCCAATGTCAAGGTATCAGGTCCTGCTCTCCCTCTTCCCCAAGCACCACAGCTCCCACTGGGGAACAGAAGACCCAATGTCAAGGCAGCAGGTCCTGCTCTCCCTCTTCCTCAAGAACCACAGCTCCCACTGGGGAACAGAAGACCCAATGTCAAGGCAGCAGGTCCTGCTCTCCCTCGTCCCCAAGCACCACAGCTCCCACTGGGGAACAGAAGACCCAATGTCAAGGCAGCAGGTCCTGCTCTCCCTCTTCCCCAAGCACCACAGCTCCCACTGGGGAACAGAAGACCCAATGTCAAGGCAGCAGGTCCTGCTCTCCCTCTTTCCCAAGCACCACAGCTCCCACTGGGGAACAGAAGACCCAATGTCAAGGCAGCAGATCCTGCTCTCCCTCTTCCCCAAGCAACACAGCTCCCACTGGGGAACAGAAGACCCAATGTCAAGGCAGCAGGTCCTGCTCTCCCTCTTCCCCAAGCACCACAGCTCCCACTGGGGAACAGAAGACCCAATGTCAAGGCAGCAGGTCCTGCTCTCCATCTTCCCCAAGCACCACAGCTCCCACTGGGGAACAGAAGACCCAATGTCAAGGCAGCAGGTCCTGCTCTCCCTCCTCCCCAAGCACCACAGCTCCCACTGGGGAACAGAAGACCCAATGTCAAGGCAGCAGGTCCTGCTCTCCCTCTTCCCCAAGCACCACAGCTCCCACTGGGGAACAGAAGACCCAATGTCAAGGCAGCAGGTCCTGCTCTCCCTCTTCCCCAAGCACCACAGCTCCCACTGGGGAACAGAATACCCAATGTCAAGGCAGCAGGTCCTGCTCTCCCTCGTCCCCAAGCACCACAGCTCCCACTGGGGAACAGAAGACCCAATGTCAAGGCAGCAGGTCCTGCTCTCCCTCCTCCCCAAGCACCACAGCTCCCACTGGGGAACAGAAGACCCAATGTCAAGGCAGCAGGTCCTGCTCTCCCTCTTCCCCAAGAACCACAGCTCCCACTGGGGAACAGAAGACCCAATGTCAAGGCAGCAGGTCCTGCTCTCCCTCGTCCCCAAGCACCACAGCTCCCACTGGGGAACAGAATACCCAATGTCAAGGCAGCAGGTCCTGCTCTCCCTCCTCCCCAAGCACCACAGCTCCCACTGGGGAACAGAAGACCCAATGTCAAGGCAGCAGGTCCTGCTCTCCCTCTTTCCCAAGCACCACAGCTCCCACTGGGGAACAGAAGACCCAATGTCAAGGCAGCAGATCCTGCTCTCCCTCTTCCCCAAGCACCACAGCTCCCACTGGGGAACAGAAGACCCAATGTCAAGGCAGCAGGTCCTGCTCTCCCTCTTCCCCAAGCACCACAGCTCCCACTGGGGAACAGAAGACCCAATGTCAAGGCAGCAGGTCCTGCTCTCCATCTTCCCCAAGCACCACAGCTCCCACTGGGGAACAGAAGACCCAATGTCAAGGCAGCAGGTCCTGCTCTCCCTCTTCCCCAAGCACCACAGCTCCCACTGGGGAACAGAATACCCAATGTCAAGGCAGCAGGTCCTGCTCTCCCTCCTCCCCAAGCACCACAGCTCCCACTGGGGAACAGAAGACCCAATGTCAAGGCAGCAGGTCCTGCTCTCCCTCTTCCCCAAGCACCACAGCTCCCACTGGGGAACAGAAGACCCAATGTCAAGGCAGCAGGTGCACACGAAACAAGGACCATGAAAACTGTGTGCAGTGCAACCGATTTGTTTGTGGAGCTTGCTCACACAAAGCCCCGAAGCTGTGTGCTGACCTGAAGCATAAAGGGACGGGTATGAGGGCACCATTCAGCATCTGATACGTTCAACAAATGACTGTTTTTATATCTTGTCATGAATATATTTCCACAAATATTTCTTTATGCAATTAATCCTTTACAATTGTTCACTGGTGATTTTGTTCAGCTGGATATTATTATTACCTTTTTGGTTTCTACTTTGTCAAAAGAAGCTGCAACTGGACATTATGCATCACCCGAGTGGCGCAGTGGTCTAAGGCGCTGCATCGCAGTGCTAGCTGTGCCACTATAGATCCTGGTTCGAATCCAGGCTCTGTCGCAGCCGGCTGCGACCGGGAGACACATGGGGCGGCGCACAATTGGTCCAGGGTAGGGGAGGGAATGGCCGGCAGGGATGTAGAGCATGGCGTTTGCAACACCAGGGTTGTGGGTTCGATTTCCACGGGGGGCCAGTATAAAAAATTATGTATGCACTCACTAACTGTAAGTCGCTCTGGATAAGAGTGTCTGCTAAATGACTAAAATGTAAATAACTCTATTACGAATCAAATCTACAAATAAAGTTGGTCAAATGGATTACACTCTGTTTTTATTGTAAGGGAAACAAAAACGGTTCATAGGCCTATATTTTTTCTATTATGTGGACAACCCTTCAAATTAGTGGATTTGGCTATTTCAGCCATACCCGTTGCTGACAGGTGTATAAAATCGAGCACAAGTTAGATACTACTTGTTAGATATTACTGCACTGTCGGAGCTAGAAGCACAAGCATTTCGCTACACCCGCTATAACATCTGCTAAACACGTGTATGTGACAAATAAAAATGTTTTTTTTAAATGTGATCTCCATAGACAAACATTGGCAGTAGAATGGCTTTATTGAAGTGCTCAGAGTCTTTCAATGTGGCACCGTCATAGGATGCCACCTTTCCAACAAGTCAGTTGACAAATATCTGCCCTGCTAGAGCTGCCCCGGTCAACTGTAAGTGCTGTTATTGTGAAGTGGAAACATCTAGGAGCAACAACGGCTCAGCCGCAAAGTGGTAGGACACAAAAGCTCACAGAACGGGACCGCCGAGTGCTGAAGCGCGTAAAAATAATCTGTCCTTGGTTGCAACACTCACTACCGAGTTCCAAACTGCCTCTGGAAGCAACGTCAGCACAAGAACAGTTCGTCGGGAGCTTCATGAAATGGGTTTCCATGGCCGGGCAGCCGCACACAAGCCTAAGATCACCATGCGCAATGCCAAACGTCGGCTGGAGTGGTGTAAAGCTCGCCGCCGTTGGACTCTTCACTACATTCCTAAAGAAAATGATGTACTTTTTACTCCATCCATTACACCCAAAAGTACTCGTTACATTTTGAATGCTTAGCAGGAATGGAAAGTCATCCCTTCTGCCTCTGAACTGGTGGACTCACTAAACACACATGCTTTGTTTGTAGATGATGTCTGAGTGTTAGAGTGTGCCCTGGCTATTGGTAAATAAATAAAAAACAAGAAAATGGTTCTGCCTGGTTTGCTTAATATAAGGAATTTGAAATGATTTATACTTTTACTTGTGATAGTTAAGTATGTTTTAGCAATTACATTTATTTTTGATATTTAAGTATATTTAAAACCAAATACTATTGGATTTTTACTCAAGTAGTATTTTACTGGGTGACTTTGACTTTTAATTTAGTCATTTTCCATTAAGGGATCTTTCCTTTTAGTTGAGTCATTTTCCATTAAGGGACAGTTGGGTAGAACACAACCACATATCACAGCACCAGAAAGAAAAAACAACTGCAGCTGTGATTGCAAGATGAAAGTCATCCAGACAGAAAGCTTTATTGATGAAAGACATCCAGACAGAAAGCTTTATTGATGAAAGACATCCAGACAGAAAGCTTTATTGATGAAAGACATCCAGACAGAAAGCTTTATTGATGAAAGACATCCAGACAGAAAGCTTTATTGATGAAAGACATCCAGACAGAAAGCTTTATTGATGAAAGACATCCAGACAGAAACCTAACCCCTAAACTTAAAATAGACATTGTCCTCGTGGGGAAGTGGGAAATGTCCCGACAAGGGATCATTTTCCTTGTTTCACTTTCCTTATGGGGACTTTTAATTTCAGGTCACCTCTCTCTCTTTATCTATCTCTCAGTGTTTAACAGTGATGGTCTTGACCTCCGTAAAGAAGTGATAGCTATCCCTCCCTCCCTCCCTCCCCACCCCTGAGTTCTTCATGCCTCCGAACGGTAGGTTCAGGTCCCTGACCAGCCAACAGTTGGTCCAGACAAGCCCCGCCTCTAACCTCCTCGCCACCCGGTGCACTCGCCCGACATCCCGCGTCCACACGGTCGCCGCCAGGCCGTAGCGTACCCCGTTGCCCTTAGCAACAGCCTCGGCTTCCCCATCGAAGGGGTTGACGCAGACGACGGGGCCGAAGATCTCGTCCTGCATCACACGGGATGACTCGGCTACGCCGGTGATGACGGTGGGACGCATGAAGTAGCCGCCGGTGTTACATTCCGGGAGCACCAGCGGGTCCTCGCCCTCCCCACACAGCACCGTGGCACCCTCCGACCGCGCCAGGGTCACGAAGCTGCGCACCTGGAGGGGAAGGGACAGGTTAGACAGGTGTATATCTGTTAATATAACCCTAACTCTAAAACTCTACACAGACCAGGGTCATGAAGCTATCCACCTGGAGGGGGGCTGCCAAGGTAAATAACATGCGAGTATACTGTACATGGATGGAAAGAAAGATTTTCCCACTAGTCCTAAAAATTCCCAATTTTCCGTATAGATTTCCTGTAACATACTTCAGTGTTTTCCCTATATTAACTTAAATTGAGGCAGCCACTCCAAAAAAGATGATATATACAGTACCAATCAAAAGTTTGGACACAACTACTCATTCAAAGGTTTTTCTTTATTTTTACTATTTTCTACATTGTAGAATAATAGTGAAGACATCACAACTATGAAATAACACATATGAAATCATGTAGTAACCAAAAATGTGTTAAACAAATCAAAATATGTATTATATTTGAGATTCTTCAAAGTAGCCTTGATGACAGCTTTGCACACTCTTGGCATTCTCTCAACCAGCTTCATAACCTGGAAGTCATTTCAATTAACAGGTGTGCCTTGTTAAAAGTTAATTTTTGGAATTTATTTCCTTCTTAATGCGTTTGAGCCAATCAGTTGTGTTGTGACAAGGTAGGGGTGGTATACAGAAGATATCACTATTTGGTGAAAGACCAAGTCCATATTATGGCAAGAACAGCTCAAATAAGCAAAGAGAAACGACAGTCCATCATTACTTCAAGACATGAAGGTCAGTCAATATGGAACATTTCAAGAACTTTGAAAGTTTCTTCAAGTGCAGTCGCAAAAACCATCAAGCGCTATGATGAAACTGGCTCTAATGAGGACCGCCACAGGAATGTAAGACCCAGAGTTACCTCTACTGCAGAGGATAAGTTCATTAGAATAACTGCACCTCAGATTGCAGCCCAAATAAATGACACATCTCAACACCAACTGTTGAGAGAAGGTTGTGTGAATCAGGCCTTCATTTAGTCATTTAGCAGACGCTCTTATCCAGAGCGACTTACATTTTTCATACTGGTCGAATTGCTGCAAAGAAACCACTACTAAAGGACACCAATAATAAGAAGAGACTTGCTTGGGCCAAGAAACACGAGCAATGGACATTAGACCGGTGGAAATCTGTCCTTTGGTCTGATGAGTCCAAATGAGAGATTTTTGGTTCCAACCGCCGTGTCTTTGTGAGACGCAGAGTAGGTGAACGGATGATCTCCACATGTGTGGTTCCCACCGTGAAGCATTGAGGAGGAGGTGTGATGGTGCTTTGCTGGTGACACTGTCAGTGATTTATTTAGAATTCAAGGCACACTTAACCAGCATGGCTACCACAGCATTCTGCAGCAACACGCCATCCCATCTGGTTTGGGTTTAGTGGGACTATAATTTGTTTTTCAACAGGACAACGTCCCAAAACACACCTCCAGGGTGTGTAAGGGCTATTTGACCAAGAAGGAGAGTGATGGAGTGCTGCATCAGATGACCTGGCCTCCACAATCACCCGACCTCAAACCAATCAGGCCTTTATGGTAGAGTGGCCAGACGGAAGCAACTCTCAGACCATGAGAAACAAGATTCTCTTGTCTGATGAAACCAAGATTGAACTCTTTGGCCTGAATGCCAAGCGTCACGTCTGGAGGAAACCTGGCACCATCCCTACAGTGAAGCATGGTGGTGGCAGCGTCATGCTGTGGGGATGTTTTTCAGCGGCAGGGACTGGGAGACTAGTCAGGATCGAGGGAAAGATGAACGGAGCAAAGTACAGAGAGATCCTTGATGAAAACCTGCTCCAGAGCGCTCAGGACCTCAGACTGGGGTGAAGGTTCACCTTCCAACAGGACAACGACCCCAAGCACACAGCCAAGACAATGCAGGAGTGGCTTCGGGACAAGTCTCTGAATGTCCTTGAGTGGCCCAGCCAGAGCCCGTACTTTAACCCGATCTAACATCCATCCTGACAGAGCTTGAGAGGATCTGCAGAGAAGAATCTGAGAAACTCCCCAAATACAGGTGTGCCAAGCTTGTAACGTCATACCCAAGAAGACTCGAGGCTGTAATCGCTGCCAAAGGTGCTTCAACAAAGTACTGAGTAAAGGGTCTGAATACTTATGTAAATGTGATATTTCAATTTTTTTATAAATTTGCAAAAACTTAAAAAAACCTGTTTTTGCTTTGTCATTATGGGGTGTTGTGTGTAGATTTATGAGGAAAACGAGGCTGTAACGTAACAAAATGTGGAAAAAGTCAGGGTCTGAATGGTTTTCTGTGTTGGAATGGTCTGGGAGTACCCCAACAACAGAATGGTCTGGGAGTACCCCAACAACAGAATGGTGTGGGCGTACCCCAACAACAGAATGGTGTGGACGTACCCCAACAACAGAATGGTCTGGGAGTACCCCAACAACAGAATGGTGTGGACGTACCCCAACAACAGAATGGTGTGGGAGTACCCCAACAACAGAATGGTCTGGGAGTACCCCAACAACAGAATGGTCTGGGAGTACCCCAACAACAGAATGGTGTGGGCGTACCCCAACAACAGAATGGTGTGGGCGTATGGGGAGGGGAAAACTGAAAACTAGCTGTTATTGGCTGAGAGGTTTGGAACGGTCTTCTTTATTGGTCATATTGGTTATGTCACCAGGCAGGCCAAAACTCCATCCCACCAAAACAAAATCCTAGTGGAAACACATAACCATGTATATTAAATGTATGTGATGTCAGACCTTCTCCAGGTGTTCTCTGCTGACCAGAGCTCCGTTATTGTTGTCAGGGTCAGAGGGAGCGCCAGTCTTCCATTCCCGCGTTGCCGCCACAAACCTCTTCAGGAACTCTGGGTAAATACTTCTCTCTACGTAGATCCTACTGGTGCACAGACAGATCTCACCCTGGAGGAAGAGGAGGAGGAGGAGGAGGAGAAGAAGAAGAAGAAGAAGAAGAAGAAGGAGAAGAAGAAGAAGAGAAGAAGAAGAAGAAGAAGAAGAAGAAGAAGAAGAAGAAGAAGAAGAAGAAGAAGAAGAAGAAGAAGAAGAAGAAGAAGAAGAAGAAGAAGAAGAAGAAGAAGAAGAAGAAGAAGAAGAAGAAGACTTTACTGTCAGCTAGTAAAATGTGAGACATGTCACCACCATGTGGCCAACACATGAACTTGCACCCTGCATGTCCCAGCTCAGAATATCTCTCCATTGAGGGTTATTCAGAAGGGTTCCATGTATAAAACTGTCATGAATACAGCTGATATGATTCATCATTCTACATGACAGAGAACATGTCACTTCTGCCAATGCATTTATTTTATCTGAGCATTCTATAATGTTACATCATCCTACTCAACCGCAAACTCAATATTCCATGATTGGCCAGCCTCTGATGATGCTCTCGCACCATTAGCCCATCCTGAGTACCTCTCTCACTCTATTGGCCCATCCTGAGTCTTACTCTCACCTGATTGGAGAAGGAGGATCGTACGGTTGTGGTGACAGCTTGGTCTAGGTCAGCGTCTGAGAAGATGATGGCAGGGTTCTTCCCCCCCAGCTCCAGGCTCAGCTTCTTACAGAACGGAGCAGAGCGCTCTGTGATCCGCTGGGCCGTCGCCGTGGAGCCCGTGAAACTGACCAATGGGACGTCAGGGTGGCCCACGAGAGCGTCGCCCGCCCGCGGCCCGGTGCCGAACACCACGTTGACAACACCCGGAGGAAAACCTGGGGGGAGAGGGAGGGGAGAGGAGGAGAAGGGAGGGGGATGGAGAAGGAGGGGAAGGAGAAGGAGAGAGAGAAATGGGGAGAGAGAGAGGGAGAGAAAGAGAAGGGAAAGAGGAGTTTGCTTTCACCAGTCTAGTTCTTCCCAGTGTCGTTGCTGCTTAGTTGTAATGAAGTGAGTCGTGTTGCATTGTGGGTAGTGTAGTCCTACCGGCCTCCTCCAGTAGTTCGCACATCATCCAGGCAGTTACCGAGGTCATCTCGCTGGGCTTAGCAACCACCGTGTTGCCCGTAGCAACAGCCGGAGCGATCTTCCAGGTGAGCAGGTATAGAGGCAGGTTCCAGGGACTGATCAGACCAGCTACACACACAAAGAATGAGAAAGAGACCCATTCCCTTTATAGTGCACTACTTTTGACCAGGGCTCATTGGGTTCTGGTCTAAAGTAGTGCACTACGTAGGGAACAGGGTACCATTTGGGACACACACTCACCCTGACTGCAATACCCATAACAAACAAGGCCACTCTAACCCATAAGCATTTCCAAGGCTTTAAAAACAGGACTTTAAAGAGTTGCACACATCTCACCGAATGTGGATCTCCCGTTGTCTACTGATCGTTCAGCGCGCAGTCGACGTCTGACTTGACACATTTCTTGGCGTGATGTCAAATCGTTTTGCACTCGGTTCCCTAAGTAGTACCGCCCTCTCGGCAGGCAAACACTATTGGCGCGGCCGAGCTTCATAACTTCAAAAAGCTTTTAGTGCCTCAAGGCCTGGTCACACACACGGAAACACACCCACCCACAGACGGCTAGTACTCACCCACTCCCACAGGACTGCGGACGGTGTAGTTGACACAGCCGATATGGTCCATCGTACTACAGTCGGTGGTGTGGTGGAGAACAGAAGAGGCAAAGAACCTGAGGTTATACACTGACCGCGGGATGTCCACCGTACGGGCAAACGTTACGGTTTTACCTGGAACACAGTAATACACACAGGAGGAAACTGTTTTACCTGGAACACAGTCAGACACACAGGAGGAAACTGTTTTACCTGGAACACAGTAATACACACAGGAGGAAACTGTTTTACCTGGAACACAGTAATACACACAGGAGGAAACTGTTTTACCTGGAACACAGTAATACACACAGGAGGAAACTGTTTTACCTGGAACACAGTAATACAGTCGCAGGAGGGAACAGCTGACTACTTAAACATAGTTATAACTACATGGGGGGTTTTAGCTGAAAAACAGACACAATACTTACACTTCTAGTAGCTACACAAACTTTAGCAAGGAAACATCATGTTGTAATGTCAAACACAATCAAAATGTTATGGTGTCTTTAAGTCAAATGGTCTTGCTGTGGTCCAGACTTCCCAGGCAAAATTCCATCAGGTCAGGGGTTAAAGGTTATTACCTTGGTCTCTGGACTCGGCCTGGGCGAACTCTTCCAGGTGAGATTCCATCAGGTCAGGGGTTAAAGGTTATTACCTTGGTCTCTGGACTCGGCCTGGGCGAACTCTTCCAGGTGAGATTCCATCAGGTCAGGGATTAGAGGTTATTACCTTGGTCTCTGGACTCGGCCTGGGCGAACTCTTCCAGGTGAGATTCCATCAGGTCAGGGGTTACAGGTTATTACCTTGGTCTCTGGACTCGGCCTGGGCGAACTCTTCCAGGTGAGATTCCATCAGGTCAGGGGTTTAGAGGTTATTACCTTGGTCTCTGGACTCGGCCTGGGCGAACTCTTCCAGGTGAGATTCCATCAGGTCAGGGGTTGGGTTAGAGGTTATTACCTTGGTCTCTGGACTCGGCCTGGGCGAACTCTTCCAGGTGAGATTCCATCAGGTCAGGAGTTAGAGGTTATTACCTTGGTCTCTGGACTCGGCCTGGGCGAACTCTTCCAGGTGAGATTCCATCAGGTCAGGGGTTGGGTTAGAGGTTATTACCTTGGTCTCTGGACTCGGCCTGGGCGAACTCTTCCAGGTGAGCTTCCATCAGGTCAGGGGATAGAGGTTATTACCTTGGTCTCTGGACTCGGCCTGGGCGAACTCTTCCAGGTGAGATTCCATCAGGTCAGGAGTTAGAGGTTATTACCTTGGTCTCTGGACTCGGCCTGGGCGAACTCTTCCAGGTGAGATTCCATCAGGTCAGGGGGTTAGAGGTTATTACCTTGGTCTCTGGACTCGGCCTGGGCGAACTCTTCCAGGTGAGATTCCATCAGGTCAGGGGTTGGGTTAGAGGTTATTACCTTGGTCTCTGGACTCGGCCTGGGCGAACTCTTCCAGGTGAGATTCCATCAGGTCAGGGGTTAGAGGTTATTACCTTGGTCTCTGGACTCGGCCTGGGCGAACTCTTCCAGGTGAGATTCCATCAGGTCAGGGGTTTAGAGGTTATTACCTTGGTCTCTGGACTCGGCCTGGGCGAACTCTTCCAGGTGAGATTCCATCAGGTCAGGGGTTAGAGGTTATTACCTTGGTCTCTGGACTCGGCCTAGGCGAACTCTTCCAGGTGAGATTCCATCAGGTCAGGGGTTTAGAGGTTATTACCTTGGTCTCTGGACTCGGCCTGGGCGAACTCTTCCAGGTGAGATTCCATCAGGTCAGGGGGATAGAGGTTATTACCTTGGTCTCTGGACTCGGCCTGGGCGAACTCTTCCAGGTGAGCTTCCATCAGGTCAGCCAGTTTATTCATCACCTGACCTCTCTCAGCTGGGCTACGGGCTGACCAATCAGGGAACGCCTCTCTGGCGGCCTGGACCGCAGCCTCCACCTGCAACCAATCAGGACAGGGTTGGTGTGTGTGTGCGCGCGTGTCTGTCAAGCCAAATACCATGTAACTGCAGTCCATAAAGAGCCTAGCAGAAAAAGATTTGAACATAACATATAGTATACTATAGAACACATCCAGAGACAAACTACTATATTGAGAGAAACACCAGACACTCCAATCCAAACTAGACAGTGAAAAACAACAAAGGTATTCTAGTCGCCAGAATATATTGACTTTTCAGCTTTTAGCCAGCCTAACATCTTACTTAAACATGTTTTTTTTGTGTGTGTGTGTGTGTTTAATAAAACGACTAGACCAGAGTCCCATTGACCTAGTAGTTGTTGAATCATTAGCTGTCAGTCTGTTTGACTTTGCACAGAGCAAAGGTACATCTCTGTGACTCAGCAGGAGGCAGAAGAATGTAAGGTAGCATATTCAGAATATCACACGTTATTACCAGCTCATATTACGGTGCTCTGTCTTCTACTTTCTTCATTCTGTATGGGTTTGCCTATAGGTCTACAGTATTTAGTGTGTCCAATCACACAACGTGATAGGCTACAATGACATTGTTGTTACATAGGCTACATTCTGTTGGTACATGATAGATACGTTGTATCATAATAGCAGCATACACCATTACTTACTACTACACTACATTGTAGAGGCACTTGAACACGTACGCTACCAGGGTTAACTACACGCACCCAATACACAGCTAAGGGATAAATGAACATTTACTTTCTGCAGCTAACAAAATGCAAAACGACAAGACATTCATCCGAGGACGACCATGGGATCGTGCGTGGTATCTAAACCCTACCTCATCCTTCCCGCTGTCGGGCACTTTGCAGTAGACCTCCCCGGTGGAAGGGTCGTAGGAGTCGATGTGACGGGAGCACGGAACAAACTTTCCTCCGATGTAGTTCTCTAGAACCAGGTGTGTTCGGTGGTCAGCTGTCTTCGGCATGGCTCGGCTGGCAACTATAAAGACTATAATGTTAAAATAATGGTGAGTTGAGGTAGAGACCAGTGTGACAAAAAAATATAATCACCGCTGGAGACACTCGGCTCGCAGGTACAGATGTTCTCACTTCTCACTGCGTGAGTAATTGGACCCTGGTGTCCCTTCCACTTTACAACCAGTGTAGGGTTCGTCCCAAACTATTCCCTACTTAGTGCACTACTTCAGAACAGGATCCACAGGGCTCTGGTCAAAAAAAGGGAATAGGGAAGCCTTTAGGAAGCGCCCTCAGTGTTTACATTCTGGTCACACGGTCCAAAGGTACAGTAGTTATGACCACAGACCAATTGAAACCTATAAAATTGTTATTGACGGGACAAGGCACCAATAGTTGTGGAGCGGAGGCGGGACGTTGACAATATACGCTGTTCAATAACTGAAGTAGCATAAAAGAAACGCCTGAAACTAATTTAGATCCCGTTTGCTAGATCCCCTTCAATAGAGCCTCACGGTGGAGGTGTCATAATACCCATAAAACCAAGCATTCAAACAGGGAAATGGTTCCAGTCATTTTTCCACCATGAATTTTTCCCATAGGGAATTTTAGAAACACTTAAAATAAGGGCTGTGTTTTGTGTAGGCTTACCCTAGCGTGACGTTTTGATAACCATGTAAATCTGTCTCGGACAAGGTGACATTTATCAATATATTCAGCTCTATTTACTCTCAGATTCTAAAATGCTAATTAGCATCAAAGTAGACATCATGCAAGACTACAAATCCCTGCAAGCTCCTGCATGTCATTTCTAGCAGGCACCCTTTGCTAACAAGTATTGTGTCAATTTAAAACGTGCACAAGACAGTTCACAGAATTGTCAATTTAAAGACATTTAGCCAATTTATTAATGACTACATTTAGCTCAAATTAGACAATTAATCCAGAGATTCTTGACATTGCCTCGATTCGGCAGTCTCGTCCAGATCATCATGGCATTTGTAGTTCTTTATGATAGCCACATTAGCAGCTAAATAGCATTTAATTTTGGAGGGGTAAAAAATACATTGATAAATGTCACCTTGTCCTAGAGAGATTTACACGGTTATCAAAACGTCATGCCAGAGTAAGCCTACTCAAACACAGCCCTTATTTTAAGTGTTTCTAAACTCCCCTATGGGAAAAATGAATAGTGGAAAAACAACAGGAACCATTTCCTTGTTTGACCGCTAGGTTTAATGGGTATTGTGACTCATATTGTGGTACTCTATACATACTGGTCTTCACAAGAAGAAGAAAGAAAAAAACTGTTGGGGGAGGTTCTCTTCTGCACTGTTCAACCAATCCAGTAAATGTGGAGGAGGAGTTAAGATGGATTGTCGCCAGAAAGGAAGAGACGATGCCAGGGGGATAACTGGGCCAAGGTCAATGAGTCAAATTTGGTTAACAAAAAAATGTAATGGCTTATTTTCTAGATTAGGTTGTTAGGAGGGTACTGATATAAGTAGGACACGTGACATCTCAGCAACTTTGAGAAAATCCCAGGGAAGTTTCTAGGTTTTGAAAACATTGGAGGCTTAGCCCAAAGCCAGTAGGGAGATCCGGGGGCATTCTCCCCCGGCAAATAAATAAAGACATTTCAACAGCTACAGTGAAATATAGATAGATGGATAGATGGATGGATGGATGGATAGATAGAGAGAGAGAGTGCATTCGGAAAGTATTCAGACCCCTTGACTTTTTCCACATTTAGTTACGTTACAGCCTTATTCTAAAATTGATTAAATTGTTTGTTTTTCTCATCAATATACACACAATACCCCTTAATGACAAAGCAAAAACAGGTTTAGACATTTGTGCTAATTTATTAAAAATAAAAAACTGAAAAAAACATTTACATAAGAATTCAGACCCTTTACTCAGTACTTTGTTGAAGCACCTTTGGCAGCAATTACAGCATCGAGTCTTCTTGGGTATGACGCTACAAGCTTGGCACACCTGTATTTGGGGAGTTTCTCACATTCTTCTCTGCAGATCCTCTATGGCTCTGTCAAGTTGGATGGGGTGCGTTGCTGCACAGCTATTTTCAGGTCTCTCCAGAGATGTTCGATCGGGTTCAAGTCCGGGCTATGGCTGGGCCACTCAAGGACATTCAGAGACTTCTCCCGAAGCTACTCCTGCATTGTCTTGGCTGTGTGCTTAGGGTCGTTGTCCTGTTGGAAGGTGGAGTCTGAGATCCTGAGCGCTCTGGAGCAGGTTTTCATCAAGGATCTCTCTGTGTTCATCTTTGTGTCGATCCTGACTAGTCTCCCAGTCCTTGCCGCTGAAAAACGTCCCCACAGCATGATGCTGCCACCACCATGCTTCACCGTAGGGATGGTGCCAGGTTTCCTCCAGACATGTTTGGCATTCAGGCCAAAGAGTTCAATCTTGGTTTCATCAGACCAGAGAATCTTGTTTCTCATGGTGTGAGAATCCTTTGGGGGCCTTTTGGCAAACTCCAAGCGGGCTGTCATGATGCCTTTTACTGAGGAGTGGCTTCTGTCTGGCCAATCTATCATAAAGGCCTGATTTGTTGAGTGCTGCAGAGTTGGTTGTCCTTCTGGAAGGTTCCCCCATCTCCCAGAGGCACTCTAGAGTTCTGTCAGAGTGACCATCGGGTTCTTGGTCACCTCCCTGACCAAGGTCCTTCTCCCCCGATTGCTTAGTTTGGCAGGGCGGCCAGATCTAGGAAGAGTCTTGGTGGTTCCAAACTTCTTCCATTTAAGAATGATGGAGGCCACTGTGTTCTTGGGGACCTTCAATGCTGCAGAAATGTTTTGGTACCCTTCCCCAGGTCTGTGCCTTGTCACAATCCTGTCTCTGAGCTCTACAGACAATTCCTTCGACCTCATGGCTTGATTTTTGCTCTGACATGCACTGTCAACTGTGGGACCTTATATAGACAGGTGTGTGCCTTTTCAAATCATGTCCAATCAATTTAATTGACAACAGGTGGACTCCAATCAAGTTGTAGAAATATCTTAAGGATGATCAATGGAAGCAAGATGCACCTGACCTCAATTTCGAGTTTCATAGCAAAGGGTCTGAATACTTATGTCAATAAGGTATTTCAGTTTTTTATTTTTAATACATTTGCAAACATTTCTAAAAACCTGTTCTCGTTTTGTCATTATGGGGTATTGTGTGTAGATGGATGAGGGAAATACATTTTTTTAAATCCATTGTGGAAAAGGTCAAGAGGTCTGAATACTTTCCGAAAGTATTCACACCCCTTGACTTTTTACCAAAAGACAATGTGTTAGAGCCTGAATTTAAAATGGATTAAATAGAGATTTTGTGTCACAAAATACCCCATAATGTCAAAGTGGAATTATGTTTTTTAGAAATGTTTAGAAAACTAATAAATAATGAAAAGCTGAAATGTCTTGAGTCAATAAGTATTCAACCCCTTTGTTACGTCAAGCCTAAATAAGTTCAGGAGTAAAGAATTGCTTAACAATTCACATACGTTTCATGGGCTCACTGTGTGTGCAATAATAGTGTTTAACATGATTCTTTAAATGACTACCTCATCTCTGTACCCCACACATACAATTATCTGTAAGGTCACTCAGTCCTGGTGTTTGTGGTTAAATCTGTACATTTCAAACACAGATTTAACCACAAACACCAGGGAGGTTTTCCAATGCCTCGCAAAGAAGGGCACCTATTGGTAGATGGGTAAAAAAAAAAAAGCAGACATTGAATATCCCTTTGAGCATGGTGAAGTAATTAATTACACTTTGGATGGTGTATCAATACACCCAGTCACTACAAAGATACAGGCGTCCTTCCTAACTTGTTTGCCGGAGGGGAAGGAACCTGCTCAGGGATTTCACCATGAGGCCAATGGTGACATTAAAACAGTTACAGAGTTTAATGGCTGTGATAGGAGAAAACAGGATGGATCAACAACATTGTAGTGACTCCACAATACTAACCTAAAGGACAGAGTGAAAAGAAGGAAGCCTGTACAGAATTTTTTGCAACAAGGCACTAAAGTAAAACTGCAAAAAATGTGGCAAAGAAATTAACTTTATTTCCTGAATATGAAGCGTTATGTTTAGCGCAAATCCAACACAACACATCACTGAGTACCACTCTTTATACTTTCAAGCACAGTGGTGGCTGCATCATGTTATGGGTATGCTTGTCATCGGCAAGGATTAGAGAAGAAACGGAATGGAGCTAAGCACAGGCAAAATCCTAAAGGAAAACCTGATTCAGTCTCCTTTCCACCAGACACTAGGAGATACATTCACCTTTCAGCAAGACAATAACCTAAAACACAAGGCCAAATATACACTGGAGTTGCTTACCATTGAATGTTCCTGAGTGGCCTATTTACAGTTTTGACTTAAATCGTCTTGAAAGCTATGGCAAGACTTGTAAATGGCTATCTAGCTTTCTAGCAATGATCAACAACCAACTTGACAGAGCTTGAATCATTTTTAAAAAATGTGTAAATATTGTACAATCCAGGTTTGCAAAGCTCTTAGAGACTTAACCAGAAAGATTCACAGCGGTAATCGCTGCCAAAGGTGACTCTAACATGGGGGTGTGAATACTTATGTCAATCCGATATTTCTGTATTACATTTTTAATACATTTGCAAACATTTCTAAAAACACGTTTTCACTTTGTCATTATGGGGTATTGTGTTTAGATGGGTGAGAAATTCAGGCTGTAACGCAACAAAATGTGGAATAAGTCAAGGGGTATGAATACTTTCTGAAGGCGCTGTAAACACATGAATTTGGTGCACTTTGAGCAGCGTTAAGTGATCCAGTCTCCTCTGCCTTGCTCCATCACTTTCTCCGTGTCTTCTATGTTGCTGTCTCTCAGTATTCTACGTTGCTGTCTCTCAGTATTCTATGTTGCTGTCTCTCAGTATTCTACGCTGCTGTCTCTCAGTATTCTATGTTGCTGTCTCTCAGTATTCTATGTTGCTGTCTCTCGGTATTCTATGTTGCTGTCTCTCAGTATTCTACGTTGCTGTCTCTCAGTATTCTACGTTGCTGTCTCTCAGTATTCTATGTTGCTGTCTCTCAGTATTCTATGTTGCTGTCTCTCAGTATTCTATGTTGCTGTCTCTCGGTATTCTATGTTGCTGTCTCTCAGTATTCTACGTTGCTGTCTCTCAGTATTCTATGTTGCTGTCTCTCAGTATTCTACGTTGCTGTCTCT